AATATATATATATATATTCAGCAAAAGACTAAAAACGAATACTTGAGACATCAGTTTTATTAGAAAACCAATAAAAGACCTAAATAATACATTAATCTAGATTCCATTAAATAACTTCCTGTCTGTAGGTGGCTCTCATCCACAATGAAAATTCTCAAAAAGATTGCGTCATCCTTTTTCTCATATACAGCAGATGATCTCTTGATGGTAACAAAGAGCAGACATCTTTGGTCCTTAGATCTTTAGATGGAGCTGCATCAGCTGTAACCAGTTCAAATGCAGCCTTGGATCGTTCACATAAAATAGTGTTTACTGTTTCTTGGATTCTTGATACAGCAGGACATACAGAAGCTGTCGTACAGATTTAGTCAGATAAGATATGTGAGCAGTCACTTCCTGTTTCCAGCCAATAAGGCTACATCCCAACCCTTCGTCAAACATTTGGACAGTGCGACTGCCGTGTCTCTGTTTGTCTCTTTGTTGTTTCACTCTTGTTCGATGGAATCACATGCATCTGGGAGGATCCAATTAAAATACTGTTGCCTACTTCTCGTCGCTTGCATGTCTCCTGCCAGTCTTTTAAGGTGATTACATACAATTATTTCAATTAGATGTCAGGATGCACTGCCATAATTATTTCAATTAGATGTCAGGATGCAGTGCCATCATCATCATCGTACAGTAATCAGGCTGTGGTGGAGCAGTGGGAGTTGGAGAGCGACAGCTCCTCCATACAGACAGAGAACTGTTCTGTTTGTTTGGTCTTTGTTCAAATCCCATTTTTCATAGCCGGGCACATTTTAAAAGAAACACATTTCCTCTGTTGTTATGTTTTCTGACAGATGTTTGAAGGTAGGAGATTTAAGGGCTACGCAAGGGAAGACAGTAGAACACATGGGGTCTCCTGGTCATGAGTCATCACATCAATAACCAGAGCAAAACATGTTTTCCTGATTTCAAACTTAAGTCAAATTCTGTAAACATAAAAGCAGACGTTAATGATAAATTTCCTTTCTCCCTTTGTTGTTTGAATCATAGCTATTTTTCAGGTGCACCAATTCTTTTTTTTCCCCACCCACCATGCAGAACGTTCTGCACTGTAGTCCACTCAGTTCCCAAACTGGTTTGGTTGCATCATCAGGACATGGGGTGTAAAACCTGTGCCAAATGAAGAGGTGAACAACAACAGCTGTGGTGACCCATGATACAGGGACAGACTGACGTGATTTGTTCATGTGTCTGATTTACGACTATCCTCTGGTGAAAAGCATCCATCTATTATTTTCATTTACATATCACCTAGTCTCTGTGGGTCACAGAGGTTCTGGGACCAATCCCAGATGACATTGGCTAGGAAGACGGGCACACAGCGGACAGGTTGCCAGTCTATCAGAGGCTGATATATGGAGGCATATAACAATTTACGTTTACAGTCCACCGAAGGGCAATTTAGAGCCACACGTGTGGGAGGTAGGACGATGAGAGGTGAGCAGGAGTACATCCCACCAGAAAGACTTTGAAGAGTGACATTACAAGGCCGGCTCCCTCTGAATGTGTCCTGCTTTATCCTGTTATTTCTCATGTTAAATTTGGAACTTGAGTTAACTTCAGATTCAGAGATGGTAATCTGCAATATTAAAAAAAAAGAATTCTGTTTCTACATTTTTCATCTTTGTTCATTATTTTTTCATTTGAATTTACACAAACCGATAAATAAACCATCCTCCTGTGGTGTTCAGCAGATATTCATGAGTGGAGCTGGTTGTGAAAGGTTCTGGTGGTCCATGTTTCTCTTGGGGCTGATGTCTATGATGTCCTTGAGGAGCAGAATATCAAACAGGAGCTCCTGTGGGACTACAGTATGGTAACTCCAGCAGCACAGGAGCTGCTGGGCACTGTGTTATGATAACAGAGGTTTGCAGAAGCAGACACACACAGCATAATGAGCAACCTGCCCACTGCAGCACATGTTGCACACAAATGTAGCTGTGTCTACGTCCCTGGTACCTCCTGATATGGACACACAATAATGGGTCGTATGTCAATTCTCTGATCCAACTTTGTCTGTTTTCTCTTTTTTTTTCACATTATAAGTAACAAAAACATATTAAAGAAAACGCCCAGCCCTCTGCGGCTCATGCTTGGTTGCACAGCCATGGCCGCGCTGACTGCGTGTCTTCCAGCAGCATCAGTATGCTGCAGGCATGGTCCCGTGTCTGCACCGCTCCCCTCCACCCTCCCCCCTTCGTCCACCTCAGCTTTATGGCTCCCTCTTAGTTCTCTGTCTTATACTTTTTCCCTCTGTGTTCTTGGCCTTGGTGTCTCTTTCCTTATCTACATTTTAAGAAAATAATCATATTCTGGCAAATTAGGCCTCAGTGTATTCACCTCCATTACCGTGTGCTGCCTCCTTATCTTTGATTTGTGTATTTTGGTATTCACCATCATCTCCAGGTCTCCACCCGCTTCATCACTCCCTGATCACATTTCTTTATCAAGTTCTTGAATGGGGCTGTCTGAGATTTTGAGCTTTTCGGGGCCTGAGTGGGAGCGACCTGCTAGGCTAGTTATAGCATTACAATACACAGTTGGATCAGTGAAACAGGCTCATTAATTGTCCAGCTGAGGGCTGTCATCATCCACGCACAACGGGTCTGTCCGACACAGAGAATTCAGGTGAGTGTGTGTGTGTGTGTGTGTGTTTTCTTGTCATGATGGGTGTGTGTGTGTGCGTGTCCCGGTGGGTGTCTGATGAGAGGGTGCTCAAGTGTGGAGGACTCATCATGAATTATTAGGAGCATGCAGAGGGGCCATCAAGCATGGGAGAAAGAGATAGTGGTGGGAGAGTAGAGAGAGAGGGGGGGCAGGGAGAGGGAGAGAGGTAAGATGGGATAGAGTTGAAGAAATGATAAAATCCCAAGCAAACCGGCGCTGGTCCTAAGGTCTTGTTTTCTCTCTTCTTTGTCAAATCCTCTTCGGATCCTCTTTGGATCGTTTCAATACACATGTAAATGTTGACCGTGTAAAACTGTGAAGTATTTGGAAATCTCCAGAACAATGCTGTAAGAGGTCTCTACTGAAATGAATACCTTAAGGATTGTACAGATGTTTTTTCTTCTTTCACTAACTCAGTGTCACTCTAGTTTAGAAAATTCCCTCTGTGTCCAATAATTAGTACCATGGTGATGACCAGGGTCGTTTTTCCAGTCAGTAAAAAGCTCTACCACAGATTGAGAAAACTGAAAAACAGTAAACTTTATTTGTAGCGGGCGCAGAGCGTGAATGCAGATACATTTTAAATGAAGGATTATAATATAAATAAATACAAAATAAATAAATGTAAAATAGGTCAAGGACGTGGATGAGTGTATTATTGGTGGACGTAGTAAAGTGTTTAAATGGTAAATGGTTCGTCTCTACAGAGGCTGCCATGTTGGATCACCAAGGACAAACTGAATGGCTTCTGATTTAAAGTTAACTGGAGACTTTACTGTCTATCACCTAATGCTGGGACAGTAAAAGTAAGATGTATTAAACTTATTATGGGCAATGTTCAGGCCCGTCCTCACACTGGGTGGAGCATCATCAGACTAGATAAAGATCAACAAGGTGAAAGCCCAAAATTCTAGACTCCCTTGTACTGTATTACCTGATTAAAGCTTACCAACCATCAGTGCGTGGTTAATATTTCATATTGTATTCCTTTCAGAAGATTGCAACATAAGTTCCCACAGTGAATTACACAGAGAGTTTGAGGTGAAAGAGGAGGCAGGAGTGAAAGGTGCTGCAAATGGTAGAGAATGAAGTCATGTGTTTTGTAAACTTCTTTGAAACGCTCTTAGATTGCCGGTAATAGGAATACGTTGATTGTATTATGGAACTAGGACAAAATCAAATTAGACTGAAATGAGGTGGAGTGAAAAGAGGAGATGCTTTGAACTGGGGAAGATTAGAAGGAAGTGGAGAGCAGCCACATTAGCATACGTAGCTCAGTGCAGTGGCTTAGATGTGTCCGGATTCTGCTGACTGACAGTGTTGTGCATGACCCCCAAATAACCTACAATTTTGGTCCTATGGATCAGGAACGGCCTTGGCCTTACTGTAATCATGGGCAGATTGGTTGATGATTTTATACACATCATGTCATCCGAGAGTCCACCAACTATCAAAATAGTTCTCTCACTTGCAGTGCCAAAATGTGTCTTCCAAAGGGTCGCAGTGTGGTCAGAGGTCAAGGTATTGACATGGCTAACAAGCTGGACTTGTAGCCATTAGTGTAGAGGTGATTGAGATGCCCATTAAAAATGGACATTTTTAAGACTAGTTATCAATTGATCAATCATTTTCGGATAAAATCAACCTAAAATTAAACCCTTTTTTATGGTTTTGTGGTTGCAGTATTTTTTTTTCTTGAAGGATAGCAAACTATAGTGGTGGTAAATCCAACACATATGTTGGTTCCAGTGGCAGTATTGTTAAGGTGCATGCTACAGTGTGATGTAAGCGCACACAGAGCAGGGGCAGAAGTTAATGAGAGGCCAGACCAGCGATCGCTGCACCTTCTGACCCAGTTCCACGGCCTCCCTTCACCTCAGTCTACCCCACTCCTCATCTGTCACTCACAGGCCTATCACTGCTAATGAGCTTATCCTGAACCATACATTTTATCGGCCACTGAACATTTTTCTCCGTAAAGGAATCTTTTATTTTCGAGACCAGAAGAATAAAAAGCTACAACCATGAGTCCAATTAGAAGGCCTCATTTATTCTGCTTTTCCCCAGTCCTTCATCTTGTCACTAGAGTCAGGGACCATTTTTAGGAGCGTCTCGTTGGGTGACATTAGTAACATTTGCGTCTGTGTTTGTGTGTGCTAATAGCTGCACTAATGGATAAACTATTGTTGTGGGAACATTCATTTGTTCAGGTCTCCTCAGTGAGAGGGTGTGTGGAGGATCAAGAGTGTGCCTTTAATTCTCTTTTCCCTTCCTCTTCCTCCTAGGTTTGTTTCTTTTGAGGACCATAGACATGGAAACCAGATGTGGTGACAACCAGGTATGTTATTACTGTTGTTACCTTCACTTAGTACTGCATTTTGTACCACATATATTTGTTTTTTAATTTTTTTTCCTCCACTATTGAACACTATTGAATTTAGTCTGCGATTGTGACTTTCAGTATTTTTTATTTAGACTGTATTTGTATTTTGACTGTATTGCTACCAACGCACACAAAGATCTACTGTTTATATATATAAAGTTAAACCCCACTTTCATACTGCAAGTGCTCCTTTACTATTATAGGACATACATGGTATGATTATATACACACATACCTGATATCTCCAACAATGATGCAGTATATACTGCAGAATTACTGTAAGTGGTCTCTATTACACTGGATTGAACAGGGTATTTATCATGATGTACAGTACAGTTCCACTGGGAGAAATAACCTTTGTTAAAATACTTAGTATAACTTCAAAATTAAATGATACATAACAGCCAGTAGGTTTGGACAGGAAATAAATTAGCCTTCGGCAAAGAGTGGACAATTTCATATTTAAATTAAATCCATAGCGGTCACAAGAGGACATAGCACCGGCTTCAGAATTGATTTTGCATAGTAAAAAAATTACATCATAGCCTCAAATGTAATATCTGGTCTCGTTAAGGTGGGGGGGTGGGGGTGGGGGCTGTAGCTCTGTGACAGGTTGTTTCTTTTTGAGTTCAACGGCCTGTCTGAGCATGTGATCCTACATTGGCTTTGAATCCTGCAGGTCATCCACCTGCTATCACAGCTGATGTTTTTTTTTTTTTTTTGCTTTGAGCAGCCTCAGACGCACTGATGCTTTTGTATTGTAGGTCTCTATTTTTCTATTTATACCCACTGAGATGAGCAATGAGCCCCAGGCAGCCCTCACTCACCAACTATGTAGACATAGACGATGCAGAGAGTGCACGTACGCACACGCACACATGCACACGTATGTTCAGCGTTAAGGATGAGTCTGAGGTTATAACATTTCATCAGCACCGTGTCTGACCACATGAAATAGTGTAATGCTGTTAGATGTATTGTCAAGCTTCAGGAAGCATACGGAGGACTGGAGTCCCTGCTGTGTCCTTGCTTTCAGGTGCATGCAATGGAACTGAAAAAAAAAAAAAGAATCCAGGCAAAAGCCACTTACATTTGTTATGACAGTGATATTAGTCATTCTGTGTTTGCAAAACTGAAAATGTGAATGTGCACTGTCACCTCAGCAGAGAAACACCTAGGCAATAATTGGAGTTATTTTATCAGCGCTGGGATTTAATACTGCAGTACATATATACATGTTTATATATATATACACATATATTGTATATATACACTGTATATACAATGTATATATGTCTATATGTGTGTGTGTATATATACATATATATGTATATACATAGTGATGTATATGTGTGTATATATATATATATATATACAACTGTGGGGTCAATAAGGTCAAATCCCTACATATTAAACGTATATCCAAACAAAGAAGCAGACACAGAGAGTGGGCTAAAAGGCTACACTACTACTGTATTACTGAATCAGTTAAAAATGAATGAAGAAAACATCCATGAGAATCATTTGTTCCTGCATAATTCACTATGTTGAGTCTCGTACACTGAAGCACCGTCAGTTGGAATTTCTCCGTCTCCTCTGCCCTCGTTTTCCCATCCGACCTTTACAGCACTAGCCTCATTCTCTCTTATCGCTTTTATCAGTTCTTCAGTTTAAGCTAAAGGAGAACTTTAGAGTAAAAAATATTTTTATTGCATTTGTTACAGATATGTATGTTTTAGTGAAGGGAAGTTTAAAAAATTGTCGTAATAGTAGAGAAGGTAAACAACAAAAAAAAAACAAACAAAACAGTGATACAGCCCATTCACTTTCTTCCTTCCATAACCCATCGTAACCCAATGCTATGTTTTTAAATGTCCCAGTCATTATTAACTGTAGTGATAACTGGTACTGATCTAAACTGCAGTTGTACGGGTCAGACAAAATTGATTTGTAATATATTTAAACCAGTTAGTGTTGATTATATGATTTGACATTCCTCTCAATTTTTTGAAGATAATCTGAACTAATTTGAATTTAATGTGCTGCAGTTGCACTCTCTACGTCCTCTCTACTTCAGGACAAATGTGTTCACATGAAATTCATGTACGGTCTAATGAAGTATGATGGAGCCTCCTTGGGCAAATCCCCTAAATCATCCCTAAGTCGTCAACTAGAAAAAGATAAAAAACATAAACTTTCAGTCTCTTCTCACTTTGTTTCACATCAATGACATTTAATGCAGTAAGAATGATTCTATAACCACAGTGATTTGGATGTTTTAACGTTCACCTTTTTGTATCGAAATATTTTTTTCCATATTTCTTTACTCTCTCCTTTAATATCGCCAGCTCATTTCACCTGATACATATACATACCAGGAATAAGTGTCAGAAATAAGTGGAAAGACTTCGGGGCTGAACATGAATTCTAAAAATAGTAGTGGTTTGATGTGGTGTGGCTACACATGATCATCACTCAGAACCTGCTAACCTACATACAGGACATGCTGTGTGGCTCCAGAGTGAAAAGAGTCTGTAGTGTCGCTGCCCTTGGTTGACTCATCAGTTTCTATGTTACTCATAGGAGTTGGAGTGGGAAACTATTTCCGTTTCAAAGAAATATAACAATCCCAGTCGTAGTCACACCTCCTGGACATTTCCCAGTACAACCCCAGACTCATCAGCTGACCTCCCAGCAGTGCCAGTGGAGAAGCTGTGATGGAGGTTCTTGCCCAAGGGCAGCACAGTAGTGTTGATGAGGTATGAATTACTTTTACTGTTTGGTCTGTGGAGAGACAGATTCTACTATTCCCGCATGTTCATTTTGACCTTGTTTTGATGTTTCTCACCCAAAATTATGCCCGTTCATTTTATACCACTCTCCATGTCCAAGGCTAAAGCAGTTTTTAAAAACACCCTCTGAGGGCTGTGATTTACAGTATAATAACATGCACGTGACACTTTATAAATGTAATAGTACAGTGGGCCTGCCAATAATGATCTCACTCTTTCACGTTTGGGTCAGTCGTTGACGAGTTGAACGGATCAGAAGTGATTTAAACATCTGGTTTAAACTGGTGACTTCATGGTGTATCATTATGGGTCAGCTGACTGTTTTAACATTTAAAGAACAATTCTATAGCAATAGCAACATAAAAAGGTCAAAATGACGTTCTTCTCTGCTCGGCTCCATTAACCAGTTGTGTGTCGTCTGTTTCCTGCTCATTGTCATATTTCTTTGGCTTGTAATTGTTTGACTGAAGGCAGAATGTTTCCAACCTAAGGTTTGTTAATGAACATTTAAATGCAGTGCATGGATTAAGGTTTCAACAGGGCTTACTCAGTGATTAACTGAATGTTATATACTGTCCTGCCACAGCATTACAGGAGTGCAGAGCTGTGTGCAGGCAATTAAAAAGCAGCCTTTGTTGCCTTTAACAAGTCCAACCTCCTCTACTGATAATATGCATAAATTCACATCCTGTCTCTTAATGATTTTTTTCCCTGTTTCTTTCTTTGCTGTCTGTCTGTTTGTCCAAGTGTTTTTGTCACTTTCTGTTTTGTCTGCACGTGTGAATTAGAAGAATCTTAATCCTGTGAATCTCTGTTTACTGTGACTAACACCAGGGGACCGACCCTAACATTCTCAGTGGGGTGAATTATCACAGACATTCCTGTGGATTACTACCAATATTTGTGTCTATAAAAAAATGGTACCTGATTACATCTATTCAGGTACCGTTTAGGTCCTATTTGACTGGTACCGTACGTGCATGCACATCTTCTCTCAGTGCAATAGGTGTGAGAAGAAAAAGAGGAAGTAAGCTGCTGACCTGCCCATATCTAGAAATTATCTGTTCAGCCAGGCTGAGACAGACGGGCGGAGAATGTGTGAGAGGAGAGAGGTGGGTGATGGATGGATTCTGTAGGAAGGAGAGAGGTTCTGCACAGAAGGAATACGGAGAAATGCAGGTTAAAGATGGAGAAAAACACATTTTTATCTTATTGATTATGCATATTCCCATGTACTTCTCTTATCTTTTCCATGAAAATGTCTTGTTGTGTTCAGTTGATAAAGCATTCGATCCACAATTTCCAGTGCTGGTGCTGTCATCCCAGTAGCCCAATTGTTTTGGGTCAAGATACTTCATTTAGATTCTTCCATCTACTCCATTGAAATTCCTCTTTAATATGTTTTGCTCCTTAAATCTCGAATGATTAGGATTTCCATGGAATCCCCTGAATCTTTAGGGAAATCTTGACAGCTTGTTCAAATCCCTACAGAAGTGTATTTTCTAAATGTTTTTGAGTGAGACAGCTCCCCTGTTTTCTTACATAATAAGATTGTTTTAGCAGCGCTGTTTAGAGAATCATTTATTGGTTCCCTTCCCAAAGCGTTTTCCTCTCTTTCTGTCTTTTGTTTTACAGCTTTGGAGTGTAGTATACATCTGTTTTGATTTCCACAAAAAACAGAATAATCTTTTTCTTTGGAATTGGTTCAGTTGGACAGATATGAATGTTATAAATAAATAACTCTACAGCTTTATTTGGTGTTTGTGCAGCATGACTGTGGCATTATTTCAACACACCAGAGTGACAGGTGTACTTTGTTTTCGCCATACTTTATCCCAATTTAATATTGTCTTTATTTGTACCTTAGAAGACACATAATCTGTAGAAAGATCAATATTTGGCACAATTTACACTTGAAGCCCCTTCAACAGAACAAATGCTTCGTGCAGTACAGACATCAATGACAATAACAGATCATATTCTGCAACTCTTCTGCTGCTCTAAGTCATTAACACAGGCGTATTTTCCTGATGCAGATGATTCTTATCTTCATTTTAAAGCTCTTCATAGACTCTCCACAGATAAACACAGTTTAAATGACAACACTGAATCCAGTCTTTAACTCAGCGTTTGTTAGCGTTGAAATGTTTTGGATACAAAGCATATAAATCAGCAAGTGTAAACAATTTTCACCACTTAAATTGATTACAGCAACTTTGTATTCATAGTGGAACTGTCTGCTGGGTTAGATACAAAAAACAGGTTTAAGACTGCAGAGTTTTCATGTTTTAATGATCGTACCTGAACATATCCCTGATGTGCAAGTGTCAGAGTCTGTCATTGTTAAGGACCTTCACCTTGCAGAGACTGGACTAGATTCCCAGGAAGATTCCTTTTACATCTTTCATCGCAAAAAAAAAAACCTACCTCTGTCTCTATCAGGCTAACACCTGCTTTCCTGCATGAAGAGTATGAAGAATGTTCAACATAACATCATGCTGTGTGTTGAGCGGGTTAACAGGTTTTCACTGTCACAAATCTGATCAAGCCTATGTTCTATCTTGGTAGTGTCTGGTTTAGGCGAGGATGACTTAAATGTGAATGTGATGTTTCTGCATGAAGCATTAACCATTCTGGCTAAAACATGTATTTGTTTAGTTAAGTTTTGTTTTGCCACATTTAGGTTTCCGTACAGAGCTTCTTAGGGGCAATCATCATCTTAACATTTGTTAGGAAGACAAACAGTACTTGTTTTTTTTTCTTTAGGGACAGAACTGTTTGTAGATCTGGAGAAATGATCCAAAATATTGGATTTTTTTTATAACATAGAGAAATGTGGATGGAAATAATTCACTTTTAATGCTGATGAATAATAGGTAAGGGTGCCTTGCATGTGAATTAACATCTGGCGAACTCAAGTGGTAATTCATGGGGTCATGACCCAGATGTTGAAAAATACTGGAATAAACTAAAGAATCACTCATGCTCTAATTTTTCACCACTGAACGATGGGAACTATTCTTCCACAGCTTAATTATCAAAAGATTATAACCCATGAAGTGTGTTGTCATGTACATACTGTAGATATTTGCAACACTTCGTTGTGGACATACAATTTGCCTGACCACATATTGGTCAGCTTATATATAATTGGCTTAGTAACCTTCAGAAAGTCAGAAACCTCCTAGTTTAAAGTCAGTGTAAATATGCTTTGAGTGACTGTCAGGATTAGAAAGGCTGCAGTGTTGCAATCTCCACTTAACACGATTTTGCTCATCAAGACCCCCACAGACAAAACTAATGATAAATGTTGCAGCAAAAAACACAAAACTAAGAAGGAAAAATTTAGTTTTTGATCATCTTTGCTATGCTGTGTAGCAAATATAGAGTTACACAGAAGGAATCTGTCACTTGATCTCAGCTGTCAATCAAAATGTGTCATTTTATTTGCAGTTTACTTGATTTATATTATAAGTAAACTAATACAGTTGTTTAAGATCGTAAAAAAGAATATTAATAATTGAAAACATTTGATCAGGTTTTTTTTGATCAATTACTAGACATTTCAGGCGACCCCTTTTGAATTCCAGGTGACATAATGTGGGGTCATGACCCAGAGATTGAAAAACACTGGAACAAACTAAAGACTTAAACCTTATCCTCCAAGCAGACTTCTTAAAATGTTAATTTTACGTTCTCTAGGACCAGACTGCCATGGTTCGACATAGCATTCCAGTTGCTGAATGATTCCAGTTGTCTTAATTTGTACTATTACATGTTATATTTTCATCACCTCAGTTTTTCTTTGACTTTATGCAGTGCAACGGCCATGTAATGAGCCCGTTGTTTCCCTGAATATTTCACATCTGCTCTGCCCCCCCTTTTACTACAGTTTTGATATAAAATTATCATTAATTGATTATATTTTTGTTAACGAGCTCACCCATGTCTGAATTTTAAATTCTGACTCACAGCCGCAGCAAAGATCAGAAACATTGTGTCCACAACAAAGCGTCTTAAACCTTGGACAGCAACACCCATCTCTGCTGAGGGGGGATAATCCGGGGAGGAAGGGCAGGGAGGGACTGAACAGTATGAAAAATGTGTGGATTAAATGGATTTAGCCCTAGGATATAGATTACATTTCACATAGGATGTTGCCATTAATCTGTATTGTACATGCACTTAGGTACATGCTTATTTGTTAATAAACAGGTATATTAAATGTAGTCAGTGTCTTTAGGCCATTGAGATTAGTTTCTTTCTTTTTTTTTCATGTTGTTTCAACACCTAACTGTATCTGAAGTCAACAGTTCCTGGTACGTTTGCCAAGTGCATGAGTCACGAGCACAAACAGTACACTCATGAATTTGACTGCCTGACTTAACTGCAGGCAGTTAACCAATCAATACCCAAAGCTGAATGAATAGGTGTATAGTGTGTATAGGTGAAAAGCTGTAGGTTGACTAGGCTGCACACATGACTCAGTGTGTTTGGTTCTTCAGCATTTCAGTATGTGTGTGTGTGTGTGTGTGTGTGTGTGTGTGTGTGTGTGTGTAACCAATGAGCAGAAATCACTCAGGATCCTGGTAGCAGTCCACTACCTCAGTTGATACGAAATTATCAATGGACATAAACACGATTACCTCATCTCCACACAATGACTAAATGATTAACAAATGACAATTCTTGAACACAATCACTGACCTACACAAGAAATGCTTCTGGTGATGCTTCTTCTCCAACTTTTAATGTTAAATGTCAATCCATCGACATTAACTTTTTTTCTCTTCCATCCACCTCCTTTCTTTTCCTTTTTTTTTTTTTTTTTTTGTTACCTCCTCACCCTCCTCCTTCGACCCCACACCCTATATTGGAGCAAGAAACCAGGACAGTTCAGCAGCGTAGGGGTTAAGAGGAGCCGGGCGTCGTGATTGGCTGCCGGCCGGCGGTCTCCAGCAGCCTACAGAAAAGAGGTAACCAGGCAACCTCAGAGAAGGCGAGCGAGGGAGAGAGCGAGAGAGAGAGAGAGGGAGGAGAAGAGGGGGCAAAGGAGTGAGGAGAGGACAAAATTCGCGCTGAAAGAAGCATGGCATAGTTTCTTGGGGATCGCGAAGAAAAAGATGTAACGAAGCTCAATAGCCTTCTTACTGGAATGGAAAAGTGGATTACTCTACCTGCTGCAGCTCAGTGTGGATGTCTGACTAAACCAAGACGGGAATGAGTGGATTCTAAAGCACTTTCGCAAAATGGGAATAAACTGTTAGTTTTTGCTGTGGTTCAAAGGTAAGCGCAGCCAGCGCGAACGTTCGGAGAGAATGCGTCATGATTGGCCCACTGTGGTACTTTTGGGAGTAAAGTGTGATAGTTGAGAGAAAGAGAGAGAGAGGTCGTCTGGACTCAGAGGAGCCTGTGGATTCACTTTGCTCTGACGCTGTCACTGCTGAATAAAATATGTGCTGCTGCTGCTGGTGTTACGGCTTTTCTTTCTCGAGTAGTGGACAGTGGTGGGGGAGTGGTGGCCGCTTGGTCCGTGTGCGTGTGAGACAGTGCGCGTGTACGTGTGTGAATGTAAGGCGGGAGGAAGGGCAGTGGTGCTTTGCTGCATTCTGCAGCTGTCTCTTCAGAGTCTGTGCGTCTCAGGGAGTCCTCCTCTGAACACACTGTCCAGCGAGGACACCAATATGAGCCGTTATTGTACGCCATGTAGATTGCGCGCGCGCCAACTAAAGCGAATAAAAATACTACTCTACTGCCCGTGATAGTGTAAAGTTACAAATTCAATGGTATTTGCTCTTTTCTGGTCTCTTCGAGTTTTCCAGAAGTGTTAGAGTGATGTTGGGCCAGGCTCTACTACAGTACGAACACATACTTAAACAACGTGAGTCCTGCTGTTTTTAAGAACCCCACCGTTTCTAATCATGTCCCTGGTGACATACAGGTCTGTCCACTGTGGAGTGTTGGCTCACAATGGGGAGTGGAGTGAAGTGAAGTGCGTCTCAGTGCTGTGCTGCTTACACAGATGCTGATGAAGTGTCGCTGTAATAATATAGTCAATGATGTGTGGGCAGCGACAGCTTCTCAGTCGGTCGGTGTGTTTGGGACGGGATGGGAGAGTTTGAATAGGCGACCCGGTCAGTTTGCTGTGAGGGGAGAGACCGGGCGCTTCGCTGCAGCTAAAAGCCGCATTAATCATGAGGCTGTGGTGCTCTGCAGACCCTCACTCTCACCTCTCCTCTCCTCTCTCTCTCCCAGCCTCGCACACAGCCTGCAGCAGTTGGCTACAGAGTTGATTGTGTAAAACGGATATTTAGGCAGCGTTTTTGTACAAACTGTGCATCACCACTCTTCCCTTGTGAGTCATTTGAAAGGCTTTTACAGATTAGAATTTTGGATAAATCTCAATGAACGGTGGCTGCAAACTACTGGCATATATGTATGCGTTACTGAGCAAAATCTGCCCTGTGAGATGAAGGCCACAGTTCGTAACTGGACTACCTTCAAATGTGTGATATTTTGCCATTACTCATTGCAGTACCGTAATTATACTCAATCATATTTAATGTGTATTTGCTTTTTGTGATGAGTGTTTTTAAAGCAGACGCATATTTAATGTGTATTTGCTTTTTGTGTTTTCATGATGAGTGTTTTTAGAGCAGACATGTTTAAAAAAGGGTGAAGTTGAGGTGGTGTAGGAGGGCTGAGAAATCTTCAGATGAATTCACTACTTTGTATATTTTTGGAACATTTGGGAGGAAAAAGCAAATATATGAACCAAGGAAGGATACGACAGTGTAATGAATTTAAGTACATGAATGATTTGCTTTAAGACAGACACCCACTACAAGAATAAGTTACCATAGTACATTGATATATTATTCTAAAATATATTTTTCAGTGTGGGTCCTTGGAATCCTCCTGCTGCCTCCCCCCCCACTCTCACACACACACACACACACACTCAGTGCTGCTGATTATTTATTTATTTTCCATTAAATGTCAAATTACTAATTGGGGCTTTGCTCAATTTATTATACGAAAACACATGTTTTATAAAATGCATAGATGTGGATCCCTGTTCAATCTTTCCTAGGCCTATAACAAAGGGGCAGGGCTTTGATGAAGCAGAGATGAAGGTGCTGAAATGATCTGGCCAGGATGGGCAGGATTAGACATGATCAGATCAGAGGAACAGCTAAGCTTCAAAAGTTTGGAGCTAAAGTATGAGATGCAAAGTCGAGATGGTTTAGGCACATGCTAAGGAGACATAGTCTAAACATTGGAGGATGGAGATGGTGTTGCCAGGCAGGAGTAAGAGACTCCAGGCAAAAATTGATGGATGTAGTGAAAGGGGACATGGAGTTGGTTGGTATACTGTAAAAGTGCAGGTAGATGACCTGCTGTGGCAACTCCTGAAAGGTTAATCTGGAAGAGAAAGATACAGTAGATGTACTCTACTACTGTGTAGACAAGAAAAAAGTAAAACAGATTTTATTGTAGGGGTTATAATCCTGCCTGAAAATGCATAGCAAATACAAATTCAGCATTCTTTTAGCTACGCTATAATTATTTTGTTACAACCAGCCTGCTATAGCCAGCAGCAGGGGGAAGCTCCACAGAAGACTCTATAATTATTTTGTTACAACCAGCCTGCTATAGCAAGCAGCAGGGGGAAGCTCCATGAGTGCTACACAAAGAGAGACTTCCTATTACCAGCTCCCAAGAAACTCAGCTCCCAAGAAACAACCCGCAACACATCTTCAAGACAAATTAAAAATAGACATGGTGGTTGGCTGAACACCTAGGAGAGAGTAGGCTCTTGAGTCCAACCGCATGGTCAAACAAAATGCCATTCATTAAACCAGGAACATCCAAATATAGTCTGTTGTTAGTGCACCCCCCCTCACTTAATACTCCCCCAACCCTTCAAAAAAGTTGTGCCGAAATGCCTTGAGGTCTACTAAGATTTTAAAAGGTAACTTGAATTTACTTTCACCTGTTAGGGTCACAGAAGACCACAACCAATAGCAGATGATGTTGGCCAGAATGCTTCATACAGTTCATAGCACATACTGCATATTAATGAATGATTGAATCAACTGCAAGGCTACACATATAAAACTTGTACAGTTAACCAGTTAACAAAGTTTTCATTCTAGAAGTAAACCAAGACACCCAGAACAACTACATGAAGAAAATAAACATCACTTCGTGACGTTGTTTGTAGATACAATTCTAGTTAAAATGTTGTTAGCTTGATTTGGTTAAGGCCACTTTTTCTGGAAAGCTGGATTCTGTGTCTGTGAGCGATCAGCAGGCAACTGCAGGTCGTCATAGAAACTCTGAGAATGGTGTTGAAACTCTCTGAGGAGAGAAAAAAAGCTCTTTTTCAATTCTCATCTCTGTCTTTTTGTCTACACCCTTCCTTTTCCCTTTGCCTCTTCTGTCACTTTTCACAGCATAGCCTGTCTCATGCAATATATGCTTTTCCAGCAGGCAGTGGAGTGGAGAGTCTTAGTACTGAATGTGTGCTGCAAAACAGTGGATCATTCTTCTGAATTAGCACTGGATGGAAAAAGATTTCTTCAAACATGTTTTTCCTAAACACAAGTAAATTATTGAAATGATTGTTGCATTTATTCTGGAGGTCTTTCTGCATATTAAGTGTTTTTATTTTCCTTATTTTGTATCAGCTGACATCTAATGCTTAAAGTTCCAAGGTTAAAAATGTGTTTGAATACACCCAAGATGTATAATGTTATTGCATCATTCAGTAGAACTCTTTGTTCAAGGTGAAATTGACTGAATGTAAGAACCTCACAAAGCTTTCCACTGCCTTCATCAGTTGAAAGAAAAAACACAGGTGGTCTAATCATGACATTCATCGTAGTCAGGCAGAGTGATCTGATCGTCAATCATATGAACAGTCAAATCCCTTTGTTTTCTCTCAGTAAGTCTCTTTAAATATGATAGTCATTTATAAAATTGACATTATCCAACTTTGGCAATAGAAAATTGTTACTTACTGAGTTAGATCCAAACCAGAAAAGTTTCCTACAGTAGCTTTTTTGTTTATTTTTTATCAGGGGTTTTCTCAGCAACCATAGCCTGTGTCGGACATTGGTCTGTCCATTTTATTACATATGGTTTGTGAAAGTAATGTTCTTTTTCTGTTAGCACACATACTTTAGACCAAAACAGCTACAGCACTGCAGCAACTGGTTTTCAAATGAAATCTACTCTGTATTTTGTCACCTGAGTTTGTGTGTGTGTGTGTTTTGTTATTGGGTGTTGTGGCCTATTGTGTGTCCATATTTGAAAGAATTGGATTTGCCAGCTAAAAGTGTCTGATCGTCAACATACTGATGCGTGAATCATTTTCTAATGATTGTGTCTGTTAATAGTTAAACTTGCCTAAAACTATAATAGCTAAGTAAATATTCAATACTGCTGCCTTTAAAGTGAGTGTAGTCATCATAGAAACCATTAAAGCATTACCTTTAATGTGTCCTCTTAGTTTAAGAATCCCATCATTGCATTTAAGGGCTGTTCCTAAGCAACATCTAGATTTTGTGGTAAATAGATGACAGGCTTTCTGTGTGGTGAGCAAAAAATACTGTGAACATGAAGTAAGAATGTAATAAATGTTGCCCTGAAACACAGTGACAATTACAAGTTACTATAATGTGAATTCCTCTCACAACATTTCAACTGTAAGCCTAATATTACGACACAAGTTGCTAGGATACAATTCAACCCTATAATAACAGCCAGTTCAAGTTACCTGCTCTGTCCAACTTACATTGCTGTAAATTACCTGTGATAGTCCAATTAAAGTATTTCTACTGGATTCCTTTCAAAAATGATTGTCCATATGTCTGTTATATAACTTAACATGGAAACACAACATGTTATTCATGTTTTCTGTGATTGTTTCTCAACCAGTAAAATGAATATAATTCCTGTGTTTATCCCTGTTGTACAAAATGTCATATTTAGATTTTCTTCAGAGTGAATTTGGTGATAAATTCAAAAAAGAGGAACTAGTAGGAAAAATCCATGTGTTCTGCTCTTAAACGTTTTCTAACCAGTTAAATGTCAGTGTTTCTTTCCTGTTGGGAGTTCAACCGTTAGAGAGGAAAGAGAGAGAATTGACTGGCTTTTGGCTGACCGCCCTCATCATTGATCCACGTTCCTTGTGTGCATGGCTTTCTCTCAGATTATAATTGGCACTGAGGATATCTATACACCCCAATGGAGTGT